TTAGTATAAATATTGGTTGAGTAATTTTAATAATAATTTATAGTATAATCGTTTTACTCTGAGTTTGACATAATTCAAATTTAATGAGGTGTTTAATTTAGCTTATCGAGGGCAGACTTTTCTTTATCTGTAAATTCGATTGGACAGATTATCTTAACACAGCACGTTAAATTCAAGTAAGAGAATTAAAAACTAGACAATATCTTATCTCTTACCATCTTTCACCCCGCTAAGTAAATTGGAAGAAAATTAGTTAGAATTAAATATGTTTGATTTAAAGGTTTAATAAAAAGTCATTTTTGTGAATATTTAATATGAAATTATATCCATTTAGGTCCTTGTGCTTGTTGATATTATATTAAATAATATTGATTTTTTCACTGTACTTGACAAATTCTTGCGGCTTGCGGATAAGATGTCAATTTTTATTGGCTAAACTATCCAGATATAAAGTTATGCTAATATTATACATCAACCTGTGCGATTTAAAATTAAATGTAGATAATTTTTTGTTATTATGGCCAAGACTAATGTTTGAATATGCTTTTTATACAGATCTCCTACTCGGACACTCGGCCACAGCTTTCGGAGCGCATTAAATACCCTGACTTGCTGCGTACGGTGCCTAGTGATTTTGAGTTCAACCCAGCAAGGTTAGCGCTGCTGCGACATTTTGGATGGACACGGCTTGGCAGCTTGTATCAAGACTATGGAGAACCAGGTCGGTTCACTCCTCCGAGGAGAAGTGAAGTGAGGCAAAGTTTGAGTACAAGAAAGGGAGCAAGACATCATGATGAAGGGACGGATGAAAGTGATGTGGGCAAAGTGATAAGCATACGTGGTCAAATAAAGGGAGATCTCGAGGAAAACGAAGGATATGGTGTAAGCCTTGGGCTAAATAGAATAAAAACTCATATCATGCCGGCAGAAAGAGAGGATACACTTGCTGTAGGGCCAAGTGGAACCAATGGGGGCACCGGACTATCAGGTACTTTAGTCCCAGATGGCCATCAGCCCTTTTCCTCTTCGCGCCACACCATGGTAAGTAGCTGACTGCGAATTCGTTGAGCAGAGAAATAAAATAAAAAGCGCTGTTAATATGGTATACAGCTTAAAGTAAGGAAAGCAAATTAATATGAAATTAAATTGTTTTTCATTAGTACCTGAAAACTCAGGAAGTCTTTTAGTCATTTTTATCAATTATTTTTATGTTAGGCTAGCTAATATGAATCATATGTTAATAAAATCTTTCGGTTTGAATTTAATAACTTAAGCCGCATAAATTTAATTATATGGAATTTTTTAATGATTAACCCAACCCAATTTATCATAACGTTTATCATGCAAAATTAGGCCAATGGAAATTTCCTTCAACTGCTTGAACGCTCAAATGACTTTAATATGGATGAAATCTTTCAGGAAAGCTTTGATACTGACATAGCAAAAAGTTTGAAAAAGCTCAAGGTAAATACTTATGGTATATAAGCTTTTTGGTATTGTGATCACGTAAAAGCGTGGATTTATTAATGTATAATATTTTGTCCATTATACAAACATTTTAATTATCGTTAAAAGTAAATTATGATATTTATAGAGAGTAATTTATATAAAAAGAGGTAGATTTTAAATATCAATGCTAGGTATTGCAGGATGTTTTAATAAAATATGCCTTATTAAGTTCTTAGAAAAAGTGGCAGAACAATAACAATAACTTTATTTTCTATAAGTATCTGTTAGAAAAATGTTGTATCTCTCTTTTGGAGCAAAATTTATTGTGTAATTGCGTTAATAGGTAATAATGAATAATAAGTATAGTTATTATTATAAATGGTAAGATATAGTAAATATGATATTGCTGATGCCCCTTTCGGCCTACAATTATTTAGTTCTTCTTC